CATGTATTTCATGTAAATTTAAGGAGGTTTCGTGCCTTAGTTTCCCGGCATCGGAGGTATTTCGTATGAATAAGCTGTAAAGATATGGGAAGAGACATCCATGTTACTGATACGATCACAGTGAGTGCGTGTTGAACCCGGTTCGCGATAACAATAACGAACGAATCATGTGTCTTGTCAAGGTGTGATTCCGATTATGGAAGCTCTGCTTGTTGTGAGTGGGATGAGTTCGTTCAGTGTCGCACTAAATCCATTTCCTCTTTGCGCCTTGTTGGACTCTGCGTGGAACAATATTTGACAGTGAAATGAATGGAGGAGCTTACGACTCCCTCTTGCTCATTTGTCCCGCGTCTTGGCTCAACGGGTAGATTCCACACCGAAGAAGCGTGACAGAAAATGCCAACTGCATGCTTTTCCGCCTTCGAGGATGTGTGTGCTTGGGTCCGTCTGTCTGTCTTTGTACGTGTGTGTGTGTGTCTATGTCGTCTGTCTGTGTTTGTATGTGTGTGTGCACGTTTGTAACATAAGATGATTACGATCGTTCGTGCGTTTTTTTTTCCGAGCTCTTCATTCCATGGTATTGTATGAGAAAAGAAAGCCTTAGATGTGAGGGAAAGGCTTCGGTAGTTGCGGAGTCATGAATCATGATGGGATGGAAGGAAAATGTGTTATAGGATCAAGTGTGCTTAGGGAGCTGTTCCATAAGATAATACACTAAGCTAAAAATGGTCTCTCGTTACCGGGAGCATATGGACATTTCATGTCTAGATATTTCTATTGTAACTATTGTAGTTCTGATGATGTATGTAAATTCAGAAATGACTGACGATTTGAACCGATTAGAACGGAGTAATGCGCAGTTTAAAATCCCAAGGTTTGCTTGGAAACACAAGTTCTGTGCATAGATAGAATACTATTCTCCCCCCCCCCCTTCCCCCGAAAAAAAAATCCACCTCCAGTTGTCAACGCAATCAAGAGCACCATTCATCAAGGAGTCTCCATTACAGGATCAGTCCATTGCCTCTCAAAAACTGGACATCCCAGAAATGCTCGATGTGAAGAAAATGTGAAACAGGTTAGGGAGGCTCTCCACAAAAGGTGCGAGTGAACTGAGAATTTCTTGCTAGTCAGTCTGGACTTTTCCTTATTTCTTTGAGCTTTGGAAACCTTCCCTCACCCAATCGACTTCTCATCAATAGAGGTAAAAAAAAAAGCTCCTTTCCTTTGCTTGGTTTTTATTATTAAGAGCATACCTGGTTGTCATTACTATACATATGCCTACACCGAGTAATTATGCAAAATCTGTTTTTCATATCAGAACATATTTGCTAAGGGTAGAACATTTTCTCAAAATTACTCAGTATTTTGTTCCTTTTCTGCTTTAGTTTGTTTTTCTCTTCAACTTTCCAGTGTATTAGTTCTAATTTTCCTTTTTGTTTTGAATATAACAATTTTGATAGTAGATGTTCTGAGTTGTTTTTGCATGTTACTTCGAGATAATGACGGCGCGCTAATATTCCCTTACATGCATTTCATCGACATTGGCTCTCACGAACAATTGTTATTTATACTATCCGAATCTTTGTGTCTCTCTTTGTCTGTCAGTTCTTTATGCCCGGCCATGCCTCTGATCCCTGTCCGACCAAACTTTGCAAGGCTTTCTCATTTGGTGCGGGGATGGTCATAGGCTAGGTGGCGCTTCAAGATTCGGACTCGGCAGGACAGGGCAGGGTCGGGCCGGCCCAAGACCAAGACCAAGACCACCTTCCTCCCCTCCCCTACCCCTTGCCCCTGGCGGTCGCCTGGGTTGCCTGCCCCTAAATCCGGCCCTGCCTCGGGGTACCTTATTTAGTGCAGACTAATTTGGGAGCTATATAATATTCACCCGTGCAACGCTGGGTACCTCTGCTAGTTCTAAATATTGACTAAATAAAAATACAAAATATATTCTGCTCTATAAAGGATTATTAGAACTTTGCTTGCATTTTTTAAATACAGTTTTGCTGCATGATCATGGACTGATCAAGTGAAGAGGTGATTGGCACTCTTGATTGTGTTGACAGCAGGGGGTGGCTTTCGCAGGGAAAAACCGGTAGTCTCGGTTCAATCGATAGGTATCCAAGCGCATCACATCAAGTAGCCCATTTATGTTGTTCAAGTTCACTCAGCCTATCTGTCAGAGCACGTTGTCAATGGAGATTCGTCTAAATGATATCTTTGAACTGTTGAAAAGGCCGATGATTAGGCATGAACCTGACCTCGATCCGTTTCTCTTTCAACAGAATCAGCTGTGCAGAAGCTGATTATGACGAGTAAGTACTGATGAAATTCTGGAAGTGGCGAAATACTAATGGACTCCTTTTTTGTGGACTACTGAAAAAATATACTGCCACAATTGTGAGCACGTGAGTAACACGTGAAACATACGTACATCTCCAATCGTAGATTGTATCTCCAGAGTTCAAGGACACAAAATACTCCTACCAGCTCGCGCAGTCGGCGGTCCTTCTTCGACTAAGAGAAACACGAGAAGCGTGCCTCCACATACTCGTTTGTTTACTGTTTTGCGAAAAGCCGTCAGCCCTGTTTATAGTTAATTTAGGAAGAAAATGCATTGAGTTCCAGAAGTACTGACATGCTCATGTGAATCCATGCACTTCCTGGCAATAAGAAGCTTAAATTATAGATGAGCATAACACGGGGGCGATACGAATCCATTTGGCACCAAATAACTCGTGATCGATTCAGTAGTTTTTGCTTGAGAGTGCGCTGCATGCTTTTCGATGGACAATCATGATGGATTATGGCTTAATAGGCTATTATTACGTATTGAGCACCTTCCATTATGGCACTGGGATTCCCCCGAAGGCGCATCCGTAAGAGCAGCAGGCGTCGTTTGAGACACCTTTGTTGTTGTAATGGGTCCACTCTTTTAGTATGTCCTGGGGAGGCGTGTGGATTGTTTGATGGTTAGTGCTCGTGCACTAAATTATCCCTAAGAGCTATACCATAATTGCTCTCGCTCAACAAAAGGAAGGATTATTCATCTCCTTCCCGCATCCTGTGATTGTTTTTTTTTGCTGGCTTTTTAGATGTTAGGTAAGGGGGTAGGGCAAGGGTGTAAGGGTAAGGGATTGTTCATGGATACCCCCCGGTCGAACGAATGAACTCGGGCAATGAGAATGGGAAGACATGCTGTACTCGGCCGTTTTGTACTACGATATTCTTCGGTGAGGTGGGACTTTAAGAGAGATTGGGTGTCACGAGAAGCGGAACAATGGAGCGGAAGCACTCCTGTGATGCCTCGACGATCTCGAGGGAGAGGTGCACGTGCCACTTCGTGGTCTTCGCTTCGCTTCACCACCTGGTCCTTCCACGTAAACGTGTTCATTGGCGTCTTCATTTTCCCGGTAATTTTCCAGAGCTGTATTTGATTCGCCTTGCGCTCCCGCCCCCCCTGGCATCGACAGCTGTTGCAGTTGTCGAGCCTCACCTGCTCATTCTCCGGAACGTCTTCTATTCCGGCAAGAGCGAGTCAGCCCGTGCTCGTGACTCACTCGGGTTTCATGGGTCAGCTCGCCGCCCCTCCGTCGAATCGGTCGGGGACTTCGAGCATCACCCTCATGCGTCGGGGACTTCGAGCATCACCCTCATGCTTGTCGTGAATTACCTTACGCCTTGAACGGATTTTGACAATTTCGAGGAAAAAACGATCCCGTTACAACCAATAAAGCCTCTCAAAGCATCGTCCCTGATCTGGTCCTGGTCCGGTGCAGCAGTGTCAAGGGTTCCCTTTGTTTTTATGGGGTCTAGTCCAGCACGAACCCGGACCGGCTCGATGCTGTGTGGGAGCGGCCTAACGGGAAGAATGGTTTATCTTTTTGGTTATTAGAAAGGCGCTTCCTCTATCATCCATCTGGCGATGAGAATTTTCTCATAAGGGGACTGTTGACAATAGGATTTTTTTTTTCCATGAGCGCACCCAAAGATATGGGTGTGAACAAAGAAATCTTCCCTAAGTTTTTTTTTTTATTACTAAGGCTCTGAAGCTTATCGAGATGAAGAAGAGAGAGAGGAGCTCATTAGACACAATGCGCGTTCCCAGGCCTGGTCGTTTGGCTGGAACCTCCCCGCGTTCACTAATACTAATTAGCCCAAAGATACATTCGTGGTGGTAAGGAGAACAGGAGTGTTTCACAGACTAACCCATTGATAGTGCTTCCGTCCACGGCGGTCAGAGGGAACAGTTGTTACAAGGAGGATCGTTAATTTTTTTTTCTTTCCCCATGAATGGACATCGTCAACGCGGAGGACGATGGACGTCGACCTTGAGGACGTTCTCATAGGAGACAAACAGATTGCGATAGTTACGTTTCGACATACACGCCCCCTACTCTTATGACAGCCCCACCATAAGACGAAATGGAAGCTTCGAACATCCGTTTCACTGGGTTTACCCTCTCGAATGCGACATGACTGTGAGAATTCTTCTAAACCCACGATCGTTTGTAAAGGACGCAGGATTGTTTATAGCTGGAGGGTGTGAAATAGTGATCGCCTCGAGGTACAAATCCATTGGGCTTGAATAGCGAGACGCATTGTCTCCTACTTCGCTTGGTCCGATGGTCCGCCGAGTGCCACTTGTGTATCGGTTGCTGCCCCAGTCTCCAAACTCCTTTATATATCATTTGCCTGTCAGCACACAAAAAAAGGAAATGGTTGTGGTGCCTGTAAGCTGCTATAGCTCCGGGCTAAAAGGGTTTCTGTGTATGGCTGGAGTCACAAGCTTTACCACGTGAGATGTCCCTCCCAGCCATAGTGCAAGTACGCCCTGTGGTGGGGCTGATGTGACCGAGCTCGCGTGCACCATGTCCACATCTTCATGCTTCGTGTCAATCCGTTTGCCTTGCATGTGACATGGTGTGGCTTCCATCGTCATTACGAGACCTCATCTTGTTCTTTTCTTTCTTCTGTTGCAGTTCTATGCGGTAAACGAGTGAGCCAAATGACCAAAACGTACAATGATATCGACGCCGTTACCAAGCTGTTGGAAGAAGTGAGTAACGATCCTTTGTTACCTTCTTTCTTAATATGAAAGATTGCACTCCTGAATGATGAGAAATTGGTGTCAACCGTAATAGTAAATTGCGTAATGTGGTTTGCCCTTTGTAGAAAGAGAAAGATTTGGAGCTGGCAGCACGAATCGGACAGCAGCTCTTGGGACGCAATCACGCTCTTGAAGATAGGATTGCCGCGTTAGAGGGAGAATTGGCTTTGGCTAATGACACCTGTACCCAGCTTCGCCATGAACTCCAGCTCAAGTCGGAATTACTGCACATTTACAATGCCGATGGGGACCCCGATTCGGAAGCAGGTATTACCACTAACATTTCACAGCAATCATCTTGTACGCCTTTATTCTAGCATCTTGTTTCCTCCCAGCTTTTTCATTTTGACAGGACAACTGAATTACTCATTACTGAAAACCTCATTTCGTCATTCCATCTAGGAACTCCCCAGGGGGTCAGGCTCTTCAATCTAGAGCTCTTCCAGAGGAGAGTAAAAGCATTGGAAGAAGAAAATACTTCCCTGAGGCAAGAAACTCTATACCTGCAACAGGAAACCTCTGCATGTGAATCAAAGGAAAGGGATCTCATCAATGATGTTGCAAAGGAGCTATGTAAGCATCTATGACAATTGTCTTCTCTGTAGCGTGCCTTGTATGCTCAATCATGAGTGTCATACTTTCCCTACTCTTGCAGGTGAGACGAAGTTGCAAGTCAAATGCCTCTCAGAAGAACTTGCCAAGAAAATAGATGAGAATTTTCGTCAGCAAGAGGAGCTCACCTCCCTGCTAGCCCAACTCATAGATCATCAAACAAAGGGCAAAAAGGTAGTATCTACATGGCAATGGCATGTAGGCCCTATTTATGACTCATGTTAGCATAAGCAGGACATTGTTCTCGTGCATCTTTTCCTTCCTTCTATTGCTTTTTTAAAAATTTGGGGTGTGTGCCTCCCCTTCCCCCCCCCCTCCCCCCATTGCTACTACACCACTGCACTGTGGAAAATAATGTTCCAGTATCCATAATGAGTCATCATATTTCATGCACCTTTGTTTCCTGTTTCTACTTATAAATAGTTGTCTGCTGAGAATGAAGAACTGTCCAGTCACCTGCTAGCTGCAAAAGAGGCCCAATTGGAACTGACAACAGAGCTGGCAGATTTCAAGTTGAAGTATGCTGAAGTGCTGGCCTTACTCAGAGATACGCAAGAACAGCTGAAGCAAACCAAGGAAGAGACATACTCAGGTCCTCTGCCATGGGCTAATAATTATTTCAATCCAGAGAGCCTTGCAGCTGAAATAGAACAGTCACTTGCAGAGGAAATCCACCAAGAGTGCCAACAAAAGATGTGAGCTTCTTTGCTGTTTCTCGATTGATGAGTCCTAAGATTTGTGTCTACTCAAGGTGTGATGTGGTTATCTTACAGGTCTGCAACAATCAAGAAGGTCTTTGAAACGTTTCGATGTGTCAACAAAACTCCTGTCCCCCCATCATATTTGGCGATTCCCACTCAGGCCTTAACAAATCCATCCTCTCCCTACATGCCTCTCCCTTGTCCTATCCAGTCTTCCACAACCATAATGTCATGGAGCAATCAGAGCTATCCCAGTTTTGATTCTGCTCTCTTCAGTGATTCAGATTTGTCTGGTCTAACAGACGAGGAGTCTCTCTACCCGTGAGTCTATTTCTTCTTGATGTTGTTTCACTTCATCTATTTCTTTTTCATCATGAATTCTTGATCATTGGATGGGCAACCTATAGCAGTCCATACATAGATCATAGATTGACCTGGAAAGAGAAAGTTCTAGGTGATGTGAAGTTGTGGAGTTATATTTAACATGGGATTGAAATTATGAAATACCCATTCGACATGCAGTTAAGTATCTATCCATCTGTGTAGGGCCACAGACTATTAAAACTGAACTGAATATTGATAAAAAGAAAGTATATAATACAAGTTTCATGCTAAAGGAGAGTTGTGAAGGAGAACTGTTTGACTTTTGTTTTTAGCTTTTATAGGACTTTTCATGAGAAGGCCACTTATAGTCCCATCCCTGATGTGTCTGTCTGTCTGACAGTTTACAAATTATTGCTCTGAATGTTGTGAAATTAAAATTTCAGTGGGAAAAAAGCTTTATTATTTCAAAAATGGGAAAATTACCTACAGCTGACTGGCATGCTTTTGAGAGACTGACTGCTTCCATCCTCTGCCCCCCACCCTGCACATGATTCCATCATCCTCAGTGTATACACTGTTTCATATTTCCATATTAAGAAGGCCCACTCATGAATTAGGTTTTTTCTTGTGCCTCCTGGGAAAACTAATTTATCTTTTTGTTCTGCAAACTAAAATATAATAGAATAGACAGTGAAATAATTAGACCATAGTTAAAGAGTGTCATGATGAGACATCCTTAAAGAAAATGATTGCTCTCTGAACTGTTTTAATCTGATGCACCATAAAATGCCTTGAAACATGTTTAAGTTTATCACTTGATCTCCCCCAAATGGCTAAATGCTCCAGCTGAACTGACATGCTGACAATTGAATTTCTGGTTCCAGTTCTGATATCTTACTTTTCTTCCTCTATTATGTATATCCATGGCAAATTTTCAATGAAAAGGCCTGATTAGAAACAGAAAGAAGCAGAAGTGGAATTTGGTCTTATATATTTTACAAAGTGGTCACTTTTCAAATTTTAGTTTTTTTTTTTGTTTTTGGGCTACCAGTGTGTGAAGAACAGAGCTCAGGTACAAAGGAAATTATGCCTGAGAAGTATAGCATCAATACACTCAGTATTGAACATCATGTTGTGGTTTTGTTCTATATCCATGTGCAAACCTGTCATAGTTGATGGACAAGTTGATGGTCTCCAAAAGTCAGTATATATTGTGAAATTTAAGATGTTGATGTGATTCTTGAAATACTGCACAAGTCTGTACGAGATGTATCTTGAAATGTATGTATATGTATTTCTTGAGAATAGCCTCTCAATCTACCTGCACTCTACATTTGAAAAATAAGTCCTTTTTTATAATTTAGAAAGGAAGGTTGGGAATTACTTATTGCCTCACTCCCACCAAGTAGGCCTGTACTTCCAAAGATGGCAATGTGTCTTTGATTCTCTACATAAGTTTCCTCTCAGAGGGAGAGCAAGATTTGTCAATATTTATTGTTTGGTGTTCAAGAGTCAGACATGACAAGAAACCCACGAACCACCAATGTGCAACTCAAACTTGTGCACCAAATTTTGAAAGTGTGGCACCTTTTTTATGATGTAATATTTAGTGTACATGGGCTATGGCTGATGTTCAGGTCAGAGGAGTTTTTGTTTGGGTTACACACCTGTTCTGAAATATTATTCTCTGATGGTGTGTTTTGAAGTGGTACATTGTTCTTTGCTGCTCACTTGAGCTATGAGTTAAAAATTGTGACAGATCAAGATGAAGTTGCAGTTGTACAGTACAGTTCAGTACTTACTACTGTAAGCCAAGTTGAGGGTCTGCTGTGAAAACCAAGCATTACCTGCAGACTTTACAGACTTCTCTTACAAACACTGACCCCCTTCTCATTTCCTCTTGAAAAGTTTGCTTTCATTGTGAGCTCTCTTGTCCTGAATACAAGAAAATCATAAAGTACTCAAAGATGTATAGCATATCATCTGGACCTTTAAAAGAAAGGTTTTTCTATAGACTCATCCAACATTTTTGTGTTTATGCTATGAGGTCCTTGCACATATTCACTGTGGTAGTGTTTTGGATGCCCTGCATACTAACTGAAGGTCATTTTATGTTCTTATGAAGGTCAACAAGTAAAGCTGGGGTACCAGGCTATCCGGGATCAAAAGACCTCCAGACTGCTTTGCAAAAACTTGATCCCCTGGTTTGTGAATATCCCATTATGGTGGTGTAAACTTTTTACTCAAGCTTGCCCCAACAAGTGCATGTTGTCTTGTTCAGGATGTTTACAAGCGAAGAGATCAGTTGGGCAGCATCAGTGCAAGTGACTGGGAGACTTCACCTTCTGATGATTTATCAAGATCCCCAAGACCAACATCTTGGGTCCCTCCACCTCCAGGTTGTAGGACTCCAGACTCCATCATGAGCCTTGGGAGCCTTCAGTCTCAGTTTAGTTCTAAAGCCAGTGCTAATCCACTCAATCAATGGAAGGCTTCTGAAAAACTTCAGGTGAGGAGAAGCTCCCAATTCTAGTGCATGGGAAAGTTGTACGTCATGAAATTTCAATTGGAATTCATGCTGTCCCTACAGTTGGTGAAACCTTTTGAGGGCTCTATGACACTGCATCAATGGTCTCGATTGGCTACACCCCACATGGCAACAGTACTGGATGAGAGACCTGGTATACAGCATAGATCCACAGCTACTGCTGGATTATTCAAAAACTCATTGAAGGAAGAGCTTGAAGATGCTGCAACTGCAACATCACAAGAGACACCTTCATCTTCAGAAGTCATTAATCCTGGAAAAGCCTTTGGCTTCACAAACAGCGTCTATACCTACACCAATTCAACTGTCTTGCATCCTGATGATACTACCTTAGTCACTCCCAGGTGTGCACAAGTCCTATGGCATATCATCCCTTTGTGATCCTCTGTCGGACCTGTTTCAACATACCTTTTCAGCCTCGATGTCGGAAGTCCTTTGATATTTCACGTGTCTGTATTCTTGCTAGCTCTAATGTTGAAGCTCTTACAGCAAACAGTGTGAAGTTCAAGTGAAATGAGAAAGACAGTCTCTTTGTATTTTTTAATTATCATGGCAATAATAAGTCATATAATTCACAAAAATGCCATTTAAAATAGAAAGCAAAATCCTTCTGTTTTCTTATTTGTGCTGAAAATAAATTGTAGTTTATTATACTCCATGATGAAAGTGGATTGCAAAGGGTTGTATGATATTCCAGATTTAAAATGTTCTGAATGTTACTAATTGACTTCATCTCATTTTCCTACAGCCTTCAACGAACTCACATGTCCTCAAAAGTGAAAGATGAATTCAGTACGTCAGTGGACATGACTCCCTCAGAATCAAGGTCTCACAGTCGAAGGCCCAGCACTTCAACATTCAGTGTAAACATGGGTTTAGCAAGAGGCTTGCAGGAGCGGGGCATGACCACACCTCAAATGTCCCAATCTTTATGCACAACTCCTTGTAACTCCCCTGATGGAACACCCCCTTCATCACCAGGCCATTTCCTTCATGGTGTATCAGAGGAAATAATTGGAGGTATACACTGTTTTGTATACTAAGGGCTTGTCCAATTGAGGTGGCTATAATGATGAGTGCTTTCTTGCAGTTGCATTAATATGTAAAGATCATTATTCCATTTACTGCAGCTTTTTATTCTATTTCTGTTGGGTGCTGAATGCCTTCACTCAATCATACTGAAAAAAGCAAACTGTCAACTTAGTATTGAATGAATTTATGTTGTTAATGTTTTCAGTGTAGAGTTTTTGGTGCATAATTTTGTTTATTTTCCTCCAGGTCTTTGGGCTATTTCAAGAAAAAGTGCTGCACTCTTGAAACAGACATTCATTGGTGATGCATCTCGAACAGGATCCCTAAGAAAAAAGGGATCAAGAAGGCTGTCTTCTTCAGTGTCATCTGAAGGTAGCCCCAGTGCTGCTCCTTCTACAGGATACCAGCTGGTTGATCAAGTTGAGAAGATTGGGCTGACAAACCTTATGGCTTCTCCACCAACATTTGTTCCTATGATGTTTCCGGGTGGCCCAGTGTGTTCCAGGTCCAAGCGTAGCCCCATGATGCAACTCACTAGTCTCAAAGCCTTGTCACAAAGACCAGGCTATAGAAAGAAAGTGCCTTCAGGTGATGAAAAGCAAACCAATTTGAGCTCTGGTGCTTGTACCTCCAGTGAGAAGAAACTGCCAAGCCGAGTTATCGCTTCCACCTTTGGAGTACCAGGAAAGCCAGGCTCTGGAATCTTGGCTACTAAACTTCGCCAGTTTGGGAAAGTGCGGCCTGATCTAGGCAAAGTGACTCCTAGAAAACCTGTCAGTGGAAAGGAGGAAGATTCAGGGATGGGTACTCTGTCATTCCTATCATTTGGGAGAAAGGGAGGTCTCTTGTAGCAGTGGAGGTAATTAGTGTCCCAATTTTCAATTAAGTATTTTTATGGGAATGTAGGGGCTGCTTTCAACTATTGCATCTCTGCTATAAAGTTTTTCATTACTTTACATATCAGTTGTAGTCATGAATCCTATTTTTTTAGATATTAAGTTTATGTAACTTTCTTCTTGAGATCTCACTAGGAGTGGCAGTGATAGGCCTTGAAGATCATTCCTGCTAAGGTAAAATCATGTGACAAGCTGGGATTCTCTCTGCTGGTAACTGTTGATTATCACAATCTTGTTATAATCTGCTGTAAAAGTGTTCCCCTATGATGTGTTCCTTATGACAACCAAAATTTAGAATTTAGAATCTCTTGTCCACCACTGGTATGAATTTTCTGTCATAGTTGCATATTTCATGATACCGGTACATCACATGGTTGTGGAATAATTTGTTTGCCTACAGCCTTGGATATTTGTAATTGTTAATGTTTAAGCAAGATATTGTTCTTTAAAGAAAAAGGCTTCCCTGTTTCTTAAATTGGAAAAATATTCAGATGTTCTGTTTATTGGCAATTCTGCAAAAATCAGTTAGTGTTTGCTAATAGAAGCATTGAAGAAAAACTATAGGGTGAGGGAAATTATTACGACGGCTTCAGGGTATTTTTGAGGGCCCTCTTTCAAAGGAGGAAGATTTGCAAGAGTCATGTCTGATGGTCTGTCTATGGTTGTTGTGTATTATGGATTACATGCTGATTGAGGTCATGCAGAAATTTTCTCTTTCAAGATTTTATGAACTCAAGTGTAATTAATGTATCAGTAAGTACCTATAGCCATGCAAGATGTGACCACTTCAAATGCAGTAAATGTTTATATTTTTCATGGGGGAAAAAACTGAAGAAAATTGCAAAATCTGAGGTGTTTGCAAAAGTTTCATCTCTTTAGAATGCCCACAATAGGAATATTTCCTGTTTTCATGTAATAATTTATCTTATATAGACAAGACTCCTAGGGTTACTGAAGTCTATTGATAGTTTTAAATGGTTTTACAGTAACCAATGTATGGTGATTAAAGAAAATGCATAATTTCCTATTTTAAGCCTTTACAGTTTTTCCTTTCTCTGTTTCATGCATTGTATTTTTATTTTTTTCATTCTGGCAGTTGCTTTCTCCCAAGACTGTTCTGGTAATTTTGATTCATTCCGAATTTTTTTTTTCCCATGAAAACTCGTGGCTATCCAGATGTTGAACATTTTGCCCCACAAAAATATATACATTTACAGCACACAAGAAACTAGAACAGAAGCCTTTCCCCTAATATTGAAAATTATGTGCTTGAGACCTCTTGGCCTGTGAATAAGCCTTGTACAGAATGCTGCCAAATTGTGCCCTTCTTTCCCCCAAACTGTTTCTATCCTGTGCTAGTTCCATCAAAAAATGTTATTCTGTCACATATTGTACTCCTAGGTCTCTCCTCTGGTTTTTTTCTTGGAGGAATGCTAATTTCCTATAGTAGTTCTATTTTCTCACCATAAGACCTTCATGGTAGTACATGGTGCTCTTTCCATCTAGCCTGCAAGAAGTATGGGATTTCATCCATGTGCAACTCCTGCTCTGCTATTGGGTTGCCTGTATCTCCCTGCATTTTTTTAATGAGAAAGTTTTGGCTAAATAATGAAGCATGCAGGAACCGAAATCTGTTTGACAGAATGACTGAGTGCTTGATGATCTACTCCTTTTTGTGTGTTCATTTTACAGCTTCTTAGAGGTGGCAGGTCCACTGCTTTGTGATATCTCATCATTCTTTGATCGCTACAGTATTTTTCTGTCTGTGCTGTCATTAAATACTGTCCTGACCATAGAGCTTAGTAATATATGCAGAATACTAAATGATGCTTGTGCAGCAGGTTTGGAAAAGAGATAGCTTGAAGCTGGTTAAGAATGAGAAGTTTGGTTGCCAGAAAAAAAAAATCCTCCAGGCATGAAAGATCCTTTGCAGTATACCTGATTAGTCAAATATTCTTGTGATTTCTCTGAAGACAAAGATAAATTACCACATAACATTGTCAAGTATGTAACACTTGTTGCTGCCTTCTGTGCCTCTGACAGCATGGTCCAACATGACATGTTTGCTGATGTGAGGAACTCTGTACTTGTGACTATGAAATGACTCACCATCAAAGCAGGAAAAGTTAATAATTACCCCGCTTGTTAAAATTGAAGACCCTTGAGATTTAAGTCACAAATGAACTGTAATGACTGGCCTACATGATGTGCCCCTAGGAAGATGGCGAGGAAACCAAATCCATGGAACCTTGAACTCTATATCAATTGTCTTCCATTACACCAGGGCCACTGGTGCTCTCAGTATATTACTATGCTCTGTGGTCCTGATGGTCCTATGCATCGATGTGATAGGTTGAGTATGTATTTTCCATATATTTGGGCTGGGAATCAAACTGGAAAAAAGTATGAGTTCACCTCATATTCAGGTTTGTTGCTGCAACCATTGGTTGTGCTACATGGATTTTTTCTTGTTCCAGTTACCAGTTCAAAAAATGGTTCAGTTCAACCTTTCCAATTTTTATCATTTATGGGAAATTCAAATAAAGCAAAACATTTCATGCTTGCATCATTTCTGTCCTAATCACTTTTAACGAAGAGCCAGTTCACCCTCAGAAAGATATTCCTTTCCATGAAGAAAAAAAAAACATTTCCAGTACCTACTCAAGCTGATATATTCCCTTTTTCCCTTTGCCTGTCTTATTATTCCATGTTGGAAAATTGCATATAATTGGAGTCCTTTTTAATTATATGCAATGTGCTGTCATTACTGCATGAGACAAGGAGCAATACTGGGACAAGAATGCTCAAGGACGAGGGAGTTTTTTCTTGGTAAAGAATATTATCTTCCAAGATGCCATTCCTTTCCTCCCAAGAGGCATGTCCTCTTGCTCATAGGGGAGAGAGGAAGAGGTTTATGGTCACTTGAGAAGTTGGAACCACTCACACATTTGGACTTTCTAAAACCAGAAATTGAAGCAGTATTCACATGTTTTTCTGCTTCATTTTCAAAGCTAGTACAAAGGCACATCCTTTTTGGTACAGGTTTTGTTTCTGATTCAAGAAAGTCAAATTGTTCAGTTTGGATTTTTGTTCCAGTTTGATTCCCTGCCTCACGTTGATACCTTCACCAGTCATTGTCAGTACCTGATGAAGCATTTCCTTTTGTTGCTGTCTCACTGTATGTGCTTTTATTTTAACTGTTACCTGAGATTGCTGAGGTTCATAGGGGGTACGTGCAAGATTTTCATACAAGTGCTGCATCAGGTCTTGGGCCTCTCTGCATCATTTCCCAGTGCTGACCTTTTGAACACAGCATATAGTGAAGACTTTTTAATTTCTTTCGTTCTTCAGCTCTTATGCATGGTATGCATTCATTCGTAGCATGTTGTCGCTATGATCTTGCATTTGGGTGCATCATGATCCTTGTTCTGTGATCTGTTTATGTATTGCAGGATTGCAGTGATTGACAATAGCAACTTCTAAACCAATGAACTTGTTACCTTCGTACGAACTCGTTTCGACTATTAGTTCCTCGATTCAGAGAAAATCAGTAGTAATTGAATGAAATCACCACAGGCGAATCTGTAGTATAACTGAATTCAGCCAAATTCAGTTAAACTGCAGTTGCAAGTATTAGTCACGTGGTGTATGGTAAGAGTAATTATCAGTTTTCTTAAGAGTTGAGCTAGTATCCATTAATTTGGACTCTGCTGTGTATTTGCTTCTGTCGTGTATATATATTTGCTTATGAAATGACAAGTGGGTTTTGTGTCAAAATCCATAAGCACATGCACGTACGTCTGCCAGAAGGTATTTCGGTTCCTTGCTTCATTATTACCTTTCCCCCTCTCCCTTCTCGCTCAAAATCATAATATCCTGAAAGTGAGAGACACTTTGCTCACATCATCATTCAATTCTGCCGCGTGTAAAATGATATTGCGAAGGGAGTTAGAAGTGTCCAGCCCCTGCGGTGTACTTGGCTATCCCATATCAAGGATGTGTGAGATCGCTTGAAGAATCTCTTGTTCCCAGCCTGTTGCCTCGTTTTGTCGCGTGGATGGGTTATGTATCGCGCTGTTCCATCTATGTGATCTCCCCTTTTCCTGGTGCTGGGGTTCGCGGTAGTTGACCATTATGATGACTAGGTTCTGATGGTCATACCTCCTACATGGTACTTCGTTTTCTGTACTTACGGTGCTGCATAGCTTTGGTGCTGAATCTTGTGTATACCTCTGTCAATTGAACGTGTCTGTCTTTTCTATGAAATAAACTTGTTCCTGGTTCAGCCATCCTTCATGTTTTGTACTTTCACTGGTTTTAGCTTTTTCCACATCATACAATTTCCACTGTGCACTGTAAGGCTTAGGTGAATACACATCACGAACGCTGTGCCCACTTTAACGATGACAAAGAAAAAATTACCTTGATCGCGATGAAAATCGGTTTGCGAAGTCTGGCTATTATGATAAAAGGTTGAGCTCATTCTGGAGAAATTCGTGCCAAAAAAACGACGCTTTGCATTGAAGTTGATATTTGCATACGCCTAAGCAATAGCTCTTCGGCAGTGGACGTTGGTGGAAGATTTCCCCGTTCCACCTTCCACCCTCTCTCCTCTCCACCTGGTCTCCATCCTTCCTACGCCATCGCTTTATTATTCTCGAGTCGTATAAGAAAAAAGTTCGATCGAGATGCGTTTTATGATCGTCATTCACAATATGTATAGTACAGGGTGGGCCAACAAAAAAAAACTAAAATTTTAATTTTTGCTTCAGAGAAGTATTGAGTACTGCAGTGTTCGAAATGCTTAAGTGGTCAGTCCAAGAGCCTGTATGCATTGCTAAGCACTGAGCTATGGTGCCGATCGGAGCGATGACCAGCGGCTCCAATCCAAACATTCACTTTCTGTGAGTGCAGTGATCTCTGAGCATGAACCTCTGGCCTCTCCCATGGTAGGAAACGTTCTGCTTGCTTATTGCTTTTTGCTGTCACATGGCCACTTAACGGATTCATCAGACCACCACCAGTCCGTCAGAAAATCATAATCATAATGCTACCCCAGCACAGTCCTCTACCC